TGGCATAGAAACAGAAATTATTGCCGCTTCATAACCCCCTATTAAATGAAGGATGCCATTAATGGCTCCCAGTCATGAAAATGTAAGGGATGCCTACATCCTATACCGACTACAAGCTTTCCTTATATGGTCAGGCAGGAAACCATCATCATCGCCCAGACGAGTGGCAGATACAAAGGAATAAAACGTTACCCTCATTACGTCAGACTTCGTCTCTGTCAAAAGTACCCTGAGTACCTACGATCGTGTAGCGGTGACGTACAAGATACGCGTCGTTTTTTTCAGTGACGGTTCTGATGTGCCTTGACCAATTGAAGTGGAGGAGGGCGTGACGGTGCACTTTCGCCATCGGATAGCCGAAGAACGATTATTGAAGTTAAGTACCTTGGTTAAAAACAAACTCGTGTCCTCTTCCAAATGTACTTCTAATGCAAAAAGAAGCTGAATCGTACGACAAGCTGCCATGCCTGCTGTTTTATTGGTTTAACGTTATGTAACATGCAGACGTCAATGAGGCTTTTTTCCCTGTGCGAAAATACTCAGTGATGTAAACTGGTCACTGTCTAATTTTTACTGAATTTCCGTCTAAAATTCGCCTCCCGATGCAGCCACTGCTGTTTGGGATCAATAAGTGGGAAGAATTTCCTTGTATCTTTTCACGGCGCTACCAGAGAACGGCATCTCGACATTGTTGTGGTTTACACTGTCGAACTTCAAGATTGGAAAGGAAAAAATGAGCATGATGACGCTGTCGTTATGTTTTTTTCGTGATTGCTGAACGTTGTTTCGAACTGCTTGATGTTTTGGTGCTGTGAACCTTATTTGTGATGCGGTACGTATGTTTTAGAATAAACAGTAAACTTGATCAGCGGTCTTTGTGACTCTTGTTGAATATCTTTGAATTGTCGACTCAGTTTAGGATGTCCTCGCTCTATTGACGCGTAATGTCTCTGTTTTGTGTTTACAGGCAGCATGCGAAGCGAGAACGGAAAAAATGTAGCTGAACGTCAGCAATTATGTCCTGAAAATGCAGCGGATACAGGTATCGTGTTTATTTTCATTACTGACACTTTTTTCTCTTTTCAGTCATCACATTCCATGAAATATAACATAATTTGTATAATCATCACTTGGACTTGAACTTTCTACCATGAGTTAGACAGTCACAGTATTCTTTTTAATATTCTGGCTGTCACCTCCAATTCATCTAGCTTGGTCGCTTTATCAATTTACTTTACTAGGCGCTGATGGTCTTTTTTCGCTGCACCATGGGCAGTAATCATCACAGGAATGACTTCCGCCTTTATCTCCAGATCTTTTGTATTTTCATCCTCGATTTTGGATGTTTCAGTATCTTTCTTCTCAACTTAAAAACAAAGTTGCCCTCAGCCAGGCATGTTATATCAGTGATTTCTGTCGACCTTCTCGCTTTATGTGCCAATACTACATCCGGACGCTGAGCTGATATTTTTTTCTTGGTTCGTATTAGACATTTCCAAAGTATTTTCACTTGCTCAGTCTCTTCAACCCCTCTTGGCTGATGTTGCTCCCACTGCTAAGTCGAGTTGGTCACACAAATGCTAATGGACTCTCCTGCTACGTTGCAGTACCCTTCATTTTATTGTCGATTCCGGAGCATTCCCTTTAAATCATCTGTTTGTCTGCGTCTTTAGGGTCTTCACTTTGTACGAGTTAATGCTCAGTGCATAGTGTGGTCTCGGGCGGCTGTTGGAATGGCTTCGGTTTTGTCATGGAGCCTGGTTTTTGACTGCCAGTTGAAAGTTTGGTGGACATTACCTAGTTGGCGAAGATCGATCGATGAAGCTCATTATTCTTCCAACCACTGCATCGAGCGTTCTTTACATTTTCATGATGATATTCTGCATTTCCAGCTGTTTACCGTTCTACTTTGCGTATGCCGTAAAACTTTACACCCTTCAGCATCCTATAGCTTGTCCCACATTTACAAAATGGCATTTGCTTCATTTTCTATTTATGGGCGAATATATCAGCAGCTGTGTGTATTTGTGTATTTGTGCGATGCCCGGTTGTTGGAGGTATAAATAGAATCCTGGCTAAAGTCCCCTTGATTGGATCACTAATTGGTCTTTTCTTTGGAACGTCACGCCTAGCTCACCAATCAATTTCGTGTACGCTTATGTTCCTCTCACGGTCACTCACTTGCGAAGAGCCATTGGTTCAAAATGAATTGTTTCATTTCAGTCGCATTGGTGGCGTTAGGCCCTTCCGCTGGATCGAATTTGGT